TACGTGGAAAAATCCCACACAAGGGGATCAAAAAACCACGACCTACACCTGTAGGCTTTTAACTTCACTAACTTGCAATCTCCCTATTACAAGCCACTTTATAATAACTCTATTGCAAAGACTTTATCTAACTTGTGATGCTCTCATTACAAGACACTCTATAACTATCCTAGTTACAAAGAATTTGACTAACTTGTGGTATTTCCACCACAAGCCACTTTGTCACACTACGGTCACAAAGGCTTTGACTAACTTGTGATGTTTCCAACACAAGCCACTTTGTCACCCTACGGTTACAAAGGATTTTTCTTATGACTCAACCTAATCAATGCTTCTAAGAAAGCTGTATAAGAGTTACAATGAAGAACAGATAACAAAGACTCAACAACCTAAGGACTTAAAATATCTTCGATCTTGGATCGGGTCCTTGAGGTTGAAGCAGCTTTGTTCTTGAGAGAGGTTCTTGAGCACTTGAAAGAATATTTTCCTTTTCTGATTTTGCAAGTGTTGAACCTGAATCTTATGCCTTGCATAAGGTTTATGCTACACGAGACATCCTTAGTGATGTCCAATCTCAATGGTGATGTCCAATCAAAATGGAAAGTGGTTGTTGCACTGTCTGTTGTACTGTCTGTTGCACTGTTGCAGCAGTCACTTTCTGCAATTGCTTTCCAGCTCTAGTTGACTTGTACTTCTGTCAGAGAACACTAAGAGACCAGGTCCCTGTTGTGTTCCATTTTGTACAGTTGCGGACAGTCACTTTCTGCAGTTGTGTTCCAGCTGTATAGTTGACTTGGACTTCTGTCAGGGAGCACCGGGATCAGGTTCCTGATCTGGTACTTTTGCACACTGCCCAGATTGTCTTGAGTTGAGTAACTTGAATCATTGTACTTTAGTTGATTAAAGAATGAGTTAGCGCTGGAAATAGTGCAGTGCGACAGAATCTTCATTTTCAGCTGTGTCCAATTGACTTTGTACTGCTGTGAGGAACCCACAAGAGTATCAGGTCCTTGTTTGGGTTCCTACCTTCTGAAGCTTTCCTGAAGTTGTAGCAAGTTCACATTTGGCTGGAATCCGTTAGATGCAGTGTAATCCAAGTGAGTCAGGTTCCCTATCTGGTTCTTGACATTAAGTTTGTTAGATCATCAAAACATACGACAAAGATATTGAAAACCTATCACTCTCCCTCGCTTTAGCCAACCGAAACAACTTCCTGTCCTCGCCTTTCTCCCCCAATGCCTCGTATAGACGACTAAACGCTGCATTCTTAGCCTCTGTGACCGCCAGCTTTGCCTCCTTCCTAGTCACTTTGTACCTCTCTCTATTTGCTCTCCTCTCCTCCTCGCTTGTGCTCCCTGCCAACTTCACGTACGCTACCTTCTTCGCCTCCACTTTACCTTGGACTATGTCATTCCACCACCAGTCGCCTTGGTGCCTGCCAGAAAAACCCTTTGATATACCTAGCACCTCTCTCGCCGCCTCCCTTACGTAGTTCACCGTTGTTGACCACATAGTGCTCGCGTCTCCACTACTCCTCCAAGCTCCCATAGCGGATAACCTCCCCTCCAACTCCTGGGCTTTGTCCTTGGTTAAAGCTCCCCATCTAATCCTCGGTCGGCCACGAGCCTACCTCTTCCTCCTCTTCATCGTAATGCCGATGTCCATCACTAGGAGCCTATGCTGAGTCGCGAGGGTCTCTCCCGGAATAACCTTGCAATCCTTGCACAACCCTCTATCACACCTCCTGAGGATAAGGTAATCAATCTGAGTCTTCACCGCCGAACTTTGGAAAGTAACCAGATACTTCTCCCTCTTCGGAAAATTCGAGTTCGCAATCATCAGCTCGAAAGACTTAGCGAAGTCTAACAGCGAAGTACCTCATCCGTTCCTATCCCCAAGGCCAAAGACACCATGCACCTCGCCATAACTACCAGCAACCGACCCAATATGGCCATTAAAATCCCCTCCAATAAATAACCTTTCAGTAGGTGGAATACTACGCACAATCTCGTCCAAGTCCTCCCAAAAGCGCCTCTTAACCTCCTCATCCAAGCCCGCTTGCGGCACGTAAGCGCTAACTACGTTGAGGGTGCACTCGCCAATCACCAACTTAATAAACATTAACCTATCATTCACTCGCCTAACCTCAACTACAGACTCTCTAAGATCCCTATCCACCAAGATACCTACTTCATTCTTACCCCTCACGACTCCAGAGTACCACAACTTATACATGTGTGCATTCCTCGCCTTCGACCCTGCCCACCTAGTCTCCTGGACACAAGCTATATTAACCTTTCTCTTCTGGAGAATCTTTGCCAACTCAATAGACT